CAATACAAATTAAACATTCTACACACGTGGTAAGTTAGTACTCTGTTTTGGTTCAGATGCTTCAATACAAATTAAACATTCTACACACGTGGTAAGTTAGTACTCTGTTTTGGTTCAGATGCTTCAATACAAATTAAACATTCTACACACGTGGTAAGTTAGTACTCTGTTTTAGTTCAGATGCTTCATTACAAATTAAACATTTTACACATGTGGTAAGTTAGTACTCTGTTTTGGTTCAGATGATTTTTTTTTATTGTTTGTTCCTATTCAGTTTCTGCTTTTTCTTTTGTGTTATAATAAATCATCCCACATTTAGCAAGCCACAATATCCAAAAGCAAATTTAAGTTGCTTTCAGAAGGTTTCTACCATCTAACACAGTTTTATTCTGAATTAGGTACTGACCCCAGCCACTAATACAGTATTAAAACAGTTAAGTGATATTTTGTTTATGTTTTTTTGTTTAGTTATTATTATTTTTTAAAACTATGAATTTTGGCAGGCCAGGTAACAAAACTTGTAATGTAATCAGATCAGTTAAGTGATATTTACTTTGGATTTTTACATCAGATTTAATATTTACCTCTACCATAATGTATTGCTTAATATTTTATGTAGAGTGAGTCCTTTTTTTCCATCCAATTTTGTAATGTACAAATCTCATTCAAGCAAGAATATTTACATGATGTATCCCATATTAAACTTATGCCTTCTATTCTTAAAATTTCTAAGCCAGTCACGAAGTCAATGCTAGTTATTTAGTAGTATCTACAATGACTTCCACTTTGTACCTATATAACTTTATATGGTCACATTTTGTTTCAATACTTTGTGGAGGCAACTTATATATGATTTTTGTTTTATTATATTTAGTTTGTGTATTTTTTACTTTTGGCTCCAGTTTGAGTTAATTTTAATAAATTCTGAATTTAATTTTTTGAAAGTATATCCTGTTCCTTCTGCTTCTGAAGCAATGCATCTTTCTGTGTAGACCAGACAGATTTCTGATTAGTCAGGACTTTCTGTTGAAAAGGTTCAACAAATGATTGTGGTTGACTTTCTTGTGCTTGCTTTTTGATAGTTTTTACATGCATTCTTCTGATTCTTTATAGTAGATTATTTTGGATTCTTTAATGGAAAATGGCTTAGTTGAGAGGAATACTTCTGATTTTGAATGTCTTGGCACTCCAATATATTCATCAGGGTATTTTCTTTCTATCATACTTGAATTGATGATTAAATGACTTTATATGCCAGAAATTTGGGCTTCTATCTGTTAGTTCCTCCTGTATGGGTAGGTCAATTTTAATTACTGATACCCTTTTAATTTCCTCATTCTTCTGATATTATACTTCTGGCTTTTATTGTGTTTAGATTAAAGGATACCAAGGGATTTTTCCTTATCATATTGCATGTCCTTTAAAGTTTTGCTTCTTGTTGACTGGCAGATACTTTAGAGTAACATCTTTCTTACCTGCATATGTCTGCTTGGGTTCAGTTTTGGAGGGTCTTCTTCTTTTTTTATTTTTAATGCTGTTTATGTTTCAGAAACTGTTAAGGTTTCTGTTTTCTACCCACTTTTAGCCAAGATTGCCTAGGGAAGATGTATTTTGGCAAGATCCTTTTTGATATGATTATTTTGAACTGTAGCTGTTTCATTCTGGTCATGTTATTTGCACGACTCCTTTTCTTCGTGAGTTATATGCAGGCCCATTTTTTATAGATAATACTCTGAAAATCATGGCTAGTTCCTTATGTCATTATTTTTTTATTTTGCTCTTTTTTTTTCATTACTTGGCACAGCTTGGTTTCACTTAGCTTAAATCTCAATGGAACAAAAATTGGGTCTTGTCTCTGAATGTGGAGTATCTTTTTATAATAATTCCTCACAGACTGTTAAAAGTCGAGTTTCCTCCTAAATATCTGCAGTTTTGTTGCCTTGGATTTTGGCAATAATTTTAGTTCTGTTAGAATGTCATCCTCCTTTTTCAGAGGTCTTTATTTCTTCTTTATGAAAAATTGCTCTATAAGCATATCATTTACTTCAAGAAAATAATTTTCTCTTCCCCAAAAAAGGACCTAAAGATGAACTTTTGGATCTAGATTCAGGGACTGATTGTTGTACATTTCTGAAATCTATTTGTGATTTGCTTCTAATTTTGGATTTTTATCCTCTAAACTATTTCATCTTTTCAAAATGATAGACATTTGATAGGACACCTTTGATATGGAGTTATTAGATATCCAAAATAGATGATGCACAAGCTTATTTTAACATTCTCATTAATTTTGTTATTTATTCTCTTTGCGTATTAACAGGAAAGACATTTTTTGTTTCACGGTTCTTCACTTTGATTTCAATTTGCACTAATTGTAAATACTCTGATCTCTTATCTTCATCAGGTGGGCATAGATTTCTTTCATTATTTGGAGGATTGTCTAGTCTAACTCCTTTCCAAGTTATTGTAGCTCTAAATATGACCCATCACCTCTTTAACCCTTTCACTGCTCTCAGGACTTGTGCCTCAATAAGTTGTATTTCAAAATAGATAGTTAAAAGATAAATGGGACTTGGTTCTGCAGTGTTGGATTTCCAATGGTCTTCTCTTGGATCATGTGAATCTTTTTTTTAAGAATTGAG